CATCTGTCTGTCTGTCTGTCTATCTATCTATCATCTGTGTATCTCTATCTATCATCTGTGTATCTATCTATCTATCATCTGTGTATCTATCTATCTATCTATCTATCTCTTTTTTTTTATGCAGTAAAACTGGATGCTCGCCAAATTAAATGTGCAACGTAGTGAGGTCGTGTGACTAATGTAGCATCCTACGCTTTGAAGTGTTACATACTATATACTGTATTCATGTTGCATACTGTATTCTATTTCACATGATATTTTGAAAAACAGAAGGAAGAACAACAGTTTTAGAACACATCTGTCAGCTGCATACATCATTGAGGCTGCCTTATTTCCGAAAAGTAACTATTAAATTCCAAAGTAAGAAAGAAATCACAGTCATTTACGCCTCAAAAAGGAATAACAGTTCATTTTATAATGATTACTTCAGAAATTAGACATCCTCAATGTTGTATGAGACCAGCAGAGGGACAGCTAGTATATACTATGTAGTATGTAGTACAGTAGTTAGTATTCCATTTCAAACCATTTATTATTATTATTATAGTAATTTATTTTTAATTTATTTATTTTTAAATATTATTTTAGTAAATCGTAATAATCTGTCTCATTTCTCAAATGTAGACTCCAGGTGGTGATGTCAAGTCAAGTGTTGTCTAAATGTCTGACTCTGGAGACGTCCTACAGAATTGTCCATCTGTCTGTGAGATTTCTGTCGTTTATCATCTATAATGAAGAGATGGCCACTAAACTCTGCTCACATGAATGTAAGTGTCCTCTAGTGCTCCATTAAGTGTCTTGTGTTGGCATGATTTAACACAAATCTTCCCTTAGATCCATGTCCTTTTCTCAAAATGTTCCAGTACGTCACCTCTAGACCGGATAAATCCGCTTCTGAGGATGTGTGGACTCGTTTAGAACTAGAGGTAATTATCTTGTATTATTTCATTTGCAATGTATTACTTCCATAGAAGTGGTATTAAAAATCGAATTCCTTTGTCAACAGGTCATCCGGTTATTAACCAAACTGTTCACACAGAAGACAGGAACATGGGCGGCTTTGTGTGAATCATCCTGCCAATGTATTAATGAGGTATGATTCAGACATTTCCCTTCAAAATATGTTCGTTTTGAAGTAAAACCACCAAAAATATCATTTATTTTTAGCAAATAAGACAAAAAATAAACAAGAGAAACACAATGGGAAATTTGTATTGTTTATAGGACATTCAAAACAATTGAAAGAAAACATTGCTACTGAAATCTCTGGTACTGACCACACGATACATTTTTTCCTCCTCAGGTGGTGCGGACAGTTGTTGTGCTTTTACACAGACAATGGCTGAAAACAAAAGGCAGAGGAAGTCAGACAGCGGTTAATCGGAGCTGGACGAGTCCTGGATTGCAGGTACTGCGAGAAGCTTTGATGTTACTGCACTGGCTGCTGTTGAAGGACTCGTCTTTTTCCGAACACTGTCTGGACGTCCTGCACATGTACGATCAGGTCATTCCCGCCATCAGAGACACGTTCCGTCTGGTCCCAGATCTGTCTGAGAGCGAAGGTGGGTTAGTGTCTCTACATTCGATTATAGTAATTGATGCCAACAGCATTTTGATTAGCTTGAGCAGTTGTTATAGCACATTTAACATCCTTTATATAACACATTTATCTTGAAATTAGTCCATTGCAGTGCATTAAAATGCATTATATCGTCATAGAACTGGCTCTGGAGGAGATCTGCAGATCTGAAACGGAGTACGTTGAAGACATGGATATGGAAACGGGGTCATAATGATCAAACACAAAGTCATGTTTTGTAATAAACGGTGGTTAGTGTTTATCTTGCAATTTTCCCCTCAGAAACATTGTTCGTCTTGTCTCCTCAGATTTTTGTTATTCTTTTAAAAACTGAGCACCAATGATCCGAATTAAAGAATTAATTTTATATCACCTGTGCCATTTTCATTCTTTTTGTATCACTGAATATAGACTTCCGTTGTAAGTGCGTTACTGTAGAAAAGTTTCTTTTTTTAGATTTTATAAACCGAAAGTGGAAATTATTTTCTGTGTAATCAACAGAACGTGACAAATGCTGTAAACAGAGTAATATTTGACCAGTTTCATTAATAATAATTGTGTGGATTAATGCTGTGCGGAAATGGATACTCAAGAACTGTACTTATTTGCATGGCTATTCACTCAAAAAAATTGTTACGCGGACATGTATTTTGATTTTAGGTAAAATAATTTTATAATTTCACCGGTGTATTATCCTAAAACAAAACAAACAAAAACTAATTTTAATGTACAAAACAACCGGCATAGCAACAAAGACGAATACTACAATAATATTACAGTAATATTAAGAGCAAAGTCATCTGAGGTAAGTTACACTACAGTTGATAACTAAGAGGCAAAATGGCGCCAAAATGTGTTTGTATTTAAAGGCAAGGCAAGTTTATTTATATAGAACATTTCATACACGATGGTAATTCAAAGTGCTTTACATAAAAGGAAGTAAAATAATTATAAAAAATATAATCACAACAATAAAAACAAGGAATTTAAAACTTCAAATGATTTAAAAATTGATTTAAAATGAATTAAAACCGTTAAGAATAGAAAATGATTATACATAATATACAGTGCAGTCAGTTCGGACGTAGCACAGTGCTCGTTCAGTAAATGCACAGCTAAACAGATGAGTTTTGAGTCTAGATTTAAATCTGGATATCGTTATAGCACATCTGATCTCTTCTGGAAGCTGGTTCCAACTGCGGGCGGCAAAATAGCTAAAAGCGGACTCCCCTTGTTTTGTGTGAACCCTTGGTATTTCTAACTGACTCGATCCTAATGATCTGAGTGGTCTGTTAGGTTTATATTCAGTGAACATATCCGCAGTGTATTTAAGTCCTAAGCCATAGAGTGATTTATAAATGAAAAAAGTACTTTAAAATCAATCCTAAATGTAACTGGAAGCCAGTGTAAGGACCTGAGGACTGGTGTGATATGCTCAGATTTTCTGGTTCTAGTCAGAGTAAATCTGGGTATCATCAGCATAGCTGTGAATTTGGTGATTTGGTTCCTTCTCATTATTTGACTTAGTTGGTGCATATACAGGCTAAACAAGAGCGGTGTCAGAATTGACCCTTGTGGGACTCCGCATGTCATGGACGTCCACTTAGACTTATGCTCTCCTATACTCGCATAATAACCTCTCCCTTCTAGGTATGACCTGAACCATTTGAGGACCATCCCACAAAGCCTGACCCAGTTTTCCAGTCTCTCTAAAAGTGTTATGATCGACCGTGTCAAACGCAGCACTGAGATCTAGTAGTACCAGCACTGATATTTTGCCAGAATCAGAATTTAAGCGAATATCATTTATTATCTTTATGAGCGCTGTCTCTGTGCTGTGATGTGGTCAGAAACCAGATTGAAAATTGTCCAGGTATCCATTTGAGTTTAAGTAGTAGTTCAGCTGATTTAAAAACAACCTTTTCAATAATCTTGCTTATAAAAGGAAGATTTGATATCGGTCTATAGTTGCTCAATATGGTGTTATCAAGATTGCTCTTTTTTCAGGAGGGCTTTTACAACTGCAGTTTTCAGGGAGTTTGAAAAACGACTGCAAGTCTGCAGAGTGATAATACAGACTTGAATGTAGCACCGGCTTCAGCAAAGACCTTGAAAGGGACTTTGGTTTCAGTTCAGGGGACTGATTAACAGCGTTGCTATTGATGGCAAATATTAGGAAATGACTGAATCCTACTATTGACCAGTCAGAATCATCAAGAGTGCTGTGTAGTAAAATAAGGTAATGAATTTACGAATGTAAGAAGTCTGTGGATTCAAGATGCTACATGGAGTGTCGTGTACTTTCCCAAGATGACCAAAGTATCTTGAAGCGTATGTGTACAGTTTTTAATTAGAATTAGTCAAGAACACGAGTATGCTCACTTCTTGTACCCTTTAACTTCCTCTGTGTAGGTGAACAAATGTTCTGCCTAAAATATGTGAAATGAGAATGTCTGACCATGTTTTACAGTGATTCCAGCACAATTTCTTTTTATTTGCGGTTGCAAACATGGAGATGCTTGAATACATAAACATTTAAACGTAAAACACTGATCAGTTTTAGCATACAATACAGTTAATAAACCAAGAACATCCCAAAATCGTGACCTGACACACCCAACAGGAATCTGTGCAAGATTGATAACATATGACCTAACTTCATAACATGGAAGAGCATGTCGCAGCATTTTCCAGAGAACCAAATATCTTACAATTTCACCCTCTTTCTGACCTTGAGTGGCTTTTAATGTTTAAAAATGAATGTTTCACATTATTTATAGTCATTTGTCTTCCAGTCAGGACCGAATTATGGCCATTCTTTCTCACACAGCAATATTCAAATGCTTTTCAGACCCTCAAGGATAGAGTTCACAAGGGAAACATATAAAACGTGTTGACGCCTCCTCCATAAACATGGAATTTCAACAACATCCAAAAGCCAAATTCCATAAAATTATCCGAACACACGGTGGGAACGTTGTGTTTAAGGTGTCCACATGTAATTTGCTGCATTAAATAAGGCATATTCTGGATCTCTGAGCATGAGGACACTGTTACAAACATTCACAAATTCATAAACCTGAATGCTACGTGAATTGTGAAAACATCTAAACAGCATGCTGGCGTTGTTCAAATGCACCAACTGATAAAAGTGTCGACGTTTTGTGCAAATTCCCAGGATAAAATAAAGCTGGCGATATTTAAGGCGTTTAACGGCATTTCAAGATGAAACGTGTTGTCAGTTCTGAGGCTGGTAAAACATATTCCCTTTTGCTTAGTGGACAAAAACAAACAAAACGAAAACATTATATGGCTTGGAGTCACACACAACGGCTGGAGTAAATAAAAATATATTTATATAAAATTAAGTGTAAAGAAAACGATGCTGGCAGACAAGCGCACAATGATAGTGAAAACCGATTACTTAATTCCCGACCCGATTGGAGGATGCTGTCCACAGTAGATGTACATTGCGCAATTGTAGGATAAGACTACGTAACCATCAACAATCCAGGTTGTGGTTTAGTAGCCGGTCTTTGGTGGCTCCACGTAGGCGGGGTTGTAAGCCGGTTGAGTCGAGCTGTAGTCTGTTGGTGGGGGCGGGTGAGCGAAGCCGGGCTGAATTGGTGGTTGTATGGGGTACGTGGCCTGCCCGCCATCATACGCAGCCTGGCTGTAGGGAACAGGATATCCTGGGCCTCCTGGAAACACATGCAGAATTACAGCTTCACTATGAGTCAATGAAACCTCTATCCAACACTTGCCCTATTTTTCGATTTCAATGTAGAGCAAAACTTTCAGATGAAAACCATGCAGTTTTTTTAGATTCTAGCAAGCAAATTGAACCCTAAATCAGTTAGACTTGGTATTTTAATGCTACCATTCAAATGTTTGGGGTTTTGGGTTAAGAAATTAATACTTTTATTCAGCAAGGATCCATTACATTTATAAAAAGTAACAGTAAAATCATGTATAATGTTACAAAAGATTTGTATTATTTCAAATAAATGCTGATCTTTTAAACTTTCTATTTATCAAAGAATCCCGGAAAAAAAAAATCTCAGTTTCACAAAAATATTAAGCAGCACAACTGTTTTCAACATTAATATGAATAAGAAATGTTATTTGAGCAGTAAATCATCATATTAGAATGATTTCTGAAGGATCATGTGACACTGAGGCTGAAAATTCATCTTTGATCACAGGAATAAATTACATTTTAAAATACAATAAAACAGAAAACAGCTCTTTTAAATTGCAATAATATTTCACAATATTACTGTTTTTACTGTATTTTTGATTAAGTAAATGCAGCCTTGGCGAGCATAAGACACTTCTTTCAAACACAACAAAAAATCTTACCAACCCCAAACTTCAGTGTAAAAAACTACAACGAAATGGTTTAAAAACTTTTTTTTCCATTTCAACCAGCCATTGTAGGCAAATACTGTGGATTAAAAATGTTTAATGCAAGAACTAAAAGTAAAAAAGTTTGTTAAAGGGCACCTATTATGCAAAATTCACTTTTACATGTTGTTTGAACATAAATGTGTGTTGGCAGTGTGTGTACACAACCACCAGTGTCTCCGAGCTTCCCGATCACAGAGAGAGCACACAGATTTTCAGGGCTTCAGATCTTATCAGTGAGGGAAAGTGATGACAGATGTGGGAGATAATAATGCCACCAATTTAAAGGCAAAGTATGGTATAGTAACAGTTGACACAAGATTTATGGACACACATTTTTATAAGAAAAATATTATTTTTAAACAATTTAATGTTGTAGAATTAATGACAATTTGGGGCTTTTATAAATAAAATGAACATCACATTTTACCAGCCCCGCCCACGATTGTTGACAGACACTGCCGTATTAGCAGAGACCCCGCCCTGAGTGAGCCGCACACAATCCGCCATGTTTATCTTCAGCTAGAGCATTTAAAAGCAGCATTCATGTAAGAAATGTCGTCTAATTACAGCGATAGACGTTGTTCAGTCCAGAGCAGTGAGTGATTTTCTGCTTTTATTTTATTGTTTGGGTCATATTAACAGCGTAGACAGCACTATAGGTACTGTATATTACGCTGCTGTCACTTAATACATAGATCTAAATTAGTGCTGGGCGGTATACCGGTTCATACCGAATACCGGTGTTTATTTTTGCTATGATATGAATTTTTAAAAATACCGCAATACCGGGACTCATACCTCCCAGCATTAGATCTAATATAAAAATGTGATTTCTTTCCCAGCTGTTTACGTTCACAGACATAACCGACTGTGTTTTTGTAACTTGTGTGAAAGAGAACTTAGTTTAGTACTCACATGCGAGTGAAAGCCACGTTCTGTGTACGTGCTTCGGATGTGTGCGCTCAGAAAACTGTTTATCAGAAGTTTAATCTAATGTGGCTAAAACGCATGATTTCAGCGTGATTTACATGATAATCAAAGCCAAACAGATGTTTTTAGTCAGAGATCTGAGATACCAGCTGGAAAAGGGGGCGGGGAGCATGTCTACATACCTAACACGTACTACGTACGCACATGACATCACCGTTTTCAGAGATTCCCGTATTGGGTGTTTACACGGAAACGATAACGGTGCCGTTATCAAAAACCTGTTTTCAAAAATATGCGTTTTCAGTCCCCAAAACGCCGTAGTCGTGTAAACAAACAGTCAAAACGCATGAAGTTTCCCGTTTTTGGCTGAAAACGTTGTCGTGTAAATGGCCCCTAAAACAGCGCGTTTCTGCTTCCACTCAAAATAGGCATTGTGCAGAGCAGGTGGACGTGAGGAACAGTATTAAGAACCGCTGCTTTAGAACATCGATTTTGAAACTTGTGAGTCCATTAGAATCGTTAGAAGACAGAATCGCGATTCATATATGAATAAATTTTTCCGTGCACCCCTAGTTTTGACGGCATGGCAGCAACTTCTCTAAAGCAGCGCAACATGGCCTCGCCCCCTTTGTTGCGTGTTCCTGGGGGCGGGGTTTATGTAAATATCTGGGATTGTGATGTCACAAACCTGGGAAGTAGCTTGTTGTAGTCCCTACGAGCTGTTTTTGTAGGCATTAAACTGCCTTAATTTTAAAAGCAACTTTGCAGATATTGTTTATGCTCAAACAGCAACATTACACACTAACTAAAGTAAAAAAAAAAAGTTAAATCACAATCAACCACCCCTTTAATAAATCAAAAGTGCCACAAGCAACATTTTTCAGTGACAACGCAAAATTAATCACTGTGAATTGATTCACTGAAACATTCTGAATTAAAAGAATCGAATCAACTGTCTTAACAAGTGTCATACTCATGATTCACAAGTAATGAGACAATGAAGGACTGCTAAACTACAAAATTACACATTATTGCCAAATAAAAACTTGCAACATTCACAGCAAAATCATCATGAATTTTTGTATATATTGCCCAGCTGACTGAACTTTCTGTTGTGCAAGGTCGTATTATCTTACTGGTCTCCTGATATGGGGGTGGTGGTCCCGCTGCATATGGCTGGCCCTGATATGGTCCCGTCGGCATGGGTTGTCCTCCATAAGCTGGTGTGCCGCCATACCCGGCCTGAGACAGCATGGGCTGGTACGGCGGGTACTGACCTCCCTGAACAACAGGCTGCTGAGGGTACTGTGTGCTTACGACTGTAGTGGTCGTTGCTCCCATAACAGCTGTAGAAACAATCAAAGGCAAACGAACATGAATAATGAGTTGAGGTATTCACAGTCAATGCATAACATATATACATATTATATAAAAGACACTGCTGATGTTTTAAAGGGGTCATATGATGCGATTTCAAATTTTCCTTTCTCTTTGGAGTGTTACAAGCTCTTGGTGCATAAAGAAGATCTGTAAAGTTGCAAAGACTAAAGTCTCAAACCCAAAGAGATATTCTTTATAAAAGTTAAGAGTCAGCCACACCTACCTAAAACGGCTCGTTCTAACACGCCCCCACATACCTGAAAGAAGTCTCTTATGCTCACCAAGGCTGCATGTATTTGACCAAAAATATTAGTAATATTGTGAAATATTATCAATTTAAAATAACTGTTTCATTGTAATATCTTTTAAAATGTAATGTATTCCTGTGATACAAAGCTGAATTTCCAGCATCATTGCTCCAGTATCACACAATACTTCAGAAATCCTTAACCCTTAACTCAGTTATTCCAACATTTTGACCACTTGTGTGTGTGTGTGTGTGTCCGCGTATATAT